GTAGCTGCAATTCTTTGATGATCTTTACTGTCCATGTGCGGGCCAGTAAGCATAAAATGAGTCATCTTTTCTCACATTTGCCGTGCGCGCGGTCGTGTCAGATACAGAAACTGCAACACCTTTTTAGTCATTCTTTCTCGGCAATTAGGCAGCCAAGAAAACTGAAATCTTAGATGACTGTTGGTGCATTTTGTGTATCAATAAAATCATAGATGTAGCTTCCACAAATGCCTATGCTTCGCGTGCGGAGGCGGCGTACTTCAGAATGCATTTTGCCGACAGAAAATGCAAGCAAAATTCAGGGTAATTGTACACGCTAAAGCCGAGTGCGCAGCCTCACCATGCAACATTACCGTTCCAGTCGTTAGTCAACGCATCTTTCTTATTACATGCAGCAAAATATCATTCCGGGCTGGAATGCACTGGGCTTACTGGTGCGATCACGCGTTTTTGCATTGTACTTGAAGCAGTCAGGTCGTTAACTCTATAATGGTAGTTACTTCATAGTTACCTTGTGCGCTCACAATCGTAAGTTTTGCTTAAAAGAAAATGAACAATTTCCGTTTGACGATTGTTCTTTGTTAAGGACCTGACTGTTCAGCCAGTAACTCCCCGCCAAAGCTTTCATGCGCCTGTACGTTATTCACCACATGTAACTGAGGTTGTACGCAGACGGAGGAGATCCCCTTATAATTTCAGCTTTCCAGCTTCTCTGGTTTCCGGCTAGTAAGCGTTTACTCAGCTGCCTAAATACGAAGAGCGCATAATCTAGAAATTTTCGTCAGGTCTGAGGTAGAAATTTTTTTGTTCCGTCTCGATGCGGAAGAACGTTAGTGAACCGTTAGCGTAGTATGCTTATCCTAACCGTCCGCATAGTGTGTGTTTATGTGTATTTGTTTGTTTGTGTTCATGTGTATGTGTGTATATGTATGTTTATATGTTCTGTGCCACATGGCTCATGAACATAATTACTTTAGTGCAGCGATGTTTAAAGAGAAAAAACATTCAAAATTTGAGTATTTCTCTTTTGCAAAACTTTCGTTTTGGGCTTTATTCTTCTGGCTTATTTAATTTTTAAAACCATTTTAGCTTTTAGACTGTTCCTGCATCTGTCCTGTTGTATCTGGTGCACTTGTCTTAGTTCGCCTCAAATTGTCCATTCATTTTTTTGGGCTGAATGTTTTATTTTTGTGAGAGCGCAGAACGTGACGGTCCCTTTCGTCCTTAAATATGATGTGCTTTGATTGTGAAGAAATGCAATGAAATTGTTGAGGGATTCCGTGAGCCACGACAGAAGCCAACCAGTCGTTGCTGAAGAGGAATTGGTGTCAATGCTCGGACTGAATCGAAATACTGATAATGATGACGATGGTGCATTGTGGGAGGTATTGGCGGAACCAACCGCGACAACGACGACGACCTTGAAAGCCGCTGTACTGGTCGGCGGTGCACAGAAAGGTATTGGGAAACGAGTTTTCGATACTGTTTGATTACTCCCGAAAAGGCAGTTTTTCAGTATTTCTGAAAGAGAACTTCTGGCAAAAGTTGCATCTCTTTTGAAATGCTCATTGCTGTCGTGGCACTTATTTCGCTTTATGTATTTTTTCTACTTTTACCGGTTCTTCTGATTGCATGCGCTGTGTCACGTTGTCCGTTACGTCTGTAATCTGCGCTCAATGCAGGAACACGTTTTCGGCCCCTTTCGCTGCAGCTTCCAAAACCACTGTTCCCAGTTGCTGGAGTTCCACTCGTCGAACATCACATTGAACAGCTTTCTAAGGTATATTCTATTCTTTTTCTTGAGTTTTTGTCGAAAACATTTAGCGCTGCATTTGAAAATGCGGGTTTTCGTGGAATGACTTTGCTAGCAGTACGTACTTGCACTGCACAACAGGATCATTTGTGTTTGTAAGGATATTCAATTTTTATGAGACTCTCTCTAAATTACTCCACTTTAGTGAGGTCTTGCATGTGTCATCGTGCAGCACTTATGTTAGGAATAAGTAGATTATTGCTGACTCATATACCATATCTTCACCTCAGTTTCAGTTTTGGGTTGCTATCCTTAGGGGATAGAAGGCTGCGGATTCGAATGGTTTTACAATTAAGATCGCGCCGGAGAAACCCGAGCATGAAAG